CCCCCCCCCCCCCCCCCAACGACTGGCTATTAAGTATTCCTAAGCTAACCAAATTCTCTTCCACCCAAGAGTATTAAAACAGTTCAGGTTCTTGTGTCATTCTCTATTAGCAAATGCCTAGCTGGGAAACCAAACTTTCCAGTGTTTCCACATATTGAACTTTCTTTGTTCTTATTCTTCCATTTTCTACTGCCTCTAGTGACAGAGCTTGTCAAGTGGAGCCCTGTGGAGTCCCAATCTTGGATATAAGTAAGGGGAAATCACCACAGAGGACTCAGTAGTATAGTTGTTAGGGTGCTTACTTACAACTCATGGCTGCCTTTAGTAGTTCCCACACAGTGTGCTGATTTCTAAGCATCTCCTTAGGCTAAGTCTCCCTTTGTAGGGGGATTCTGGATGCCATGTCAGTACTTGAGACTTAAGCAAATAATAGTCTCATGAGTTGGAATGTGCATTTGCCTGGGCACGAATAGCAGCTGATACTTGTCCCTAGGAAACACCTACATCATGCATGCTGTGGTGCATGACAGGTTACCTTGGGTGGGGTGGGAGAAGTTGGGACCAGCAACTCCTGGCTCCAGCCATACTTTGGGGCCCCAGTGAGTTGTAGCTGTGATGCTCCAGCAGAGAACCTAGCCAGCAGTTGGAATATGGGCTCTGGCTGGACAGGCTCTGTTTTTTGGGTGGTGCATGTGCTGCCCCACTGTTTCTGGTGTGGGTTTTCTTGACCCTGGGATTTCCTAGGGTCAAGAAACACCCCCACCTGCAAAGCAGCAGTGCAAGGAACACCTGCGTGTGCAGTGTGTGGCATTGCAGAAAGGTCTGTGGTGCCACATACCACATATCTGCACTCATCTGGACATTACTATGCATCTTCAGCCCCTTGTTTTTGACACCACCCCTTAATGGTAGAGTACAAGCATGGGCCATCCTGTTCAAGGTACTTTCCAGGTTTATAGCCAACTTGATTAACTTTTGTCACATGCTCAAGCCTTTTTTTTTTTAGTGTTTCCCTTCAGGTACCTTGTTGGAGGGAGGAAGTATTTTATTCAAAACTCCAGCCAGTCTCTTTGCCCTTTGTTGCCTTAAATAATATCACAGTGGGTGCATCTACATATTCATTAGTGCACCATAGTTACTGTACATTAAGTTTAGCACTTGGTTAACAAGTACTAATCAATGCACAGTAGCTCTGGTGTGTGGGTTTTTAGTGATACTTACTGCATAGCAGCCTAATATTATTGTGCAGTAGTATAGTAGCATGGGTCTTGCCCAGCACACTACTGCACAGTGGCATTAGACTGCTGCACAGCTAGCATGTTATGTAGACATGCCCAGTAAGAATTCTACTTCATGGAATTAAATATGTTATTGATGTGCTTCAATGCTGGCAAGATAAAGCCCCAAGTCTTCCTAGACATTTTGGGCTGGAAGGGACCCTGGAGGATCATTGAATCTAGCCCCCTACCCCAGGGGCAGGAAGTCAGCAGGGATCAGAGGATCCCAACAAGATAAGCATCCAAATGTCTCTTGAAGGCATTCAAAGTGGGTGCTTGAACCGCCTCTGGCGGCAGTCTATTCCAAACCTTGGAGGCTCGGACAGTAAAGAAGTTCTTCTTTATGTCCAGCCTGAATTGGTCACAGTGGAGTTTGTGACAGTTTGATTTTGTCATTCCTTGGGGTGCTCTGGTGAGCAGACATTCCCTCTGCTCCTGATGAGCACCCTTTATAAACTTATAGGTGGCCACCAGATCACCCCTGATTTAGATCGCTATTTTCCCATACTATGCCTTAATACACACAAATAACGTATACACCCACAATCATATAACAGTCAACAATGGAATTTGGAAGTAAATTTATTATTTTCAGATGCAAGAGCAGACCTGTTACGTAGTATCAGTGGCCCTGCATATAATAGATCTAACATTAAAAGATTAAGACCTAGACAGCACTGTCATGTGAACATGGGGAACATTTAT